TTAAGGTGTTGATTTGGGAGCTACTATCACTATTTTTGACATAAGGCACGCGTACCGAGAGCAATTGAGGATCGGTGATTGCGACTGGAGAGAGAACTTTTGCGGCTATACTTTTTGCATATTGCTTGCTGGTTTCTAAGTTGAAGTGAAGGAGTTATTGGATTTTGAAGTTAGCACATGCAATCTAAGGGTAGTAAGTAACTAGTGGTAGTGTCTTGAGCTATATCTTGAGCAATTTGTCAAGGTTTTGGCTAAAAATTTCAGAGAATATGTAAATTTATGTTAATAAACTTTTTACATAATTTTGATGGCATTTGAGTATTGGATTCTTGAGATATTAAGAAAATAGTGCTCAAGTACTTGTAAATTAGGATTTAAAGCATTTACTAGGATTCCTTAGATACTAGAAGTTTAAAAGTGATTTTGTAGTTGAATTTTTTTATAATAAAATTTAAGGATAAATTCTACCTATTCTATAAGTTTGAAACAAATTGAATAGTTAGATCAAGAGTTATGAATTTCTAAAGTTTGAAAAGAGAAAATCCTTCGAAGGAAAAATATGTTTTGAAGAGATTTTGCTATATTTTGAATTTTGTACAAAATAAAGGAATTTTGGAAGCTAAAATAAGATACATACAAAATTTTAAACTAAACTCTCTATAGCTAGATATCTAGTGCATTTTTAGATAACAAATCATATTATATGACACCGTAATAAACTGTTTGGTATAGTATGTTGTCGCTCTTGCTTATACTCAAGCTAGATATTAAAAAGTTGTAATTTTTATTCTCAATGATGATGCCACAATTTCATATTTTTTAGATGGAAATCATGTAGCAAGGATCGATGGTCAATGCAAACAACCACTGGCTTCTCCAATAGATAGTGTTGCCATACCTTTGTAGTGTATACAATTGTTAATTGCTCTTGATCATGTGCAGAGTAATTCGCTTTGCCTTTCGAAGCTTGCATGATTCATACGCCAAAGATTGAAGGCCCCTACTAAAGTCTCATTGAAAGACCTCTCCAATAGCAAAGTTAGAAGCATCAATATCAAGCATACAAGGGAGATTACGATCATATGGTAGCAATATTAGAGCAGTAATAAGTGCCTCCTTCAACTTATCAAAGGCATTTGCTGCTTTAGTTTCTATTCAAATGGGGTACCATTTTCCAATAGGTTTGTTAATGAGATAGCAATGTGAACAAATGGCCAAACAAAACGGTGATAGTATCTAGTAAGGCTTAAAAACGAGTGAACTTTTAAAGCATCCTTGGAGGTTGGCCAATCTTCTATTGCTTTCACATTATCTTGCTCCATATGCATGCCTTAGGAGGACACCTAATGCTCTCAAAAAGAGACTTTGGACTTTCAAAGTTCACATTTTGATTGCTTACAATAGAAGCGACTATCTTACAATTGACATTGTCGTATTATAACACGACTATATGGTCAAAGATGATAATATGGATCTTATTATAGAAGAGCCAAGTTAAAAGAAAAAGTAGAAAAATATAGATAAAAGATAGGAAGGTAGTAAAATGTTTAGTAGTAATGCTTTCTTTTTTAGAAAAATAGCTTCTACTTACTTTGTAGGGCCAAAAATAAGGCAAAGTAAGGTAGATTGGAAAAATAAATGATATAAACATCTTTAAAAGAAAGTTAAGAGTAAATTCTAATAAAAGTTACTAAAAAAAACTAAATGTTGATACTCGGAGAGGGCTAGTTATGAACGAGGGTCAAAATCAAACCCTGAGGCACAAAACCGAGTCTCGACGATGATTCTAAGATTCTTTGGCAAATCAAAGAATAGAGTTTGATAGAAGATTGGATACTATTTCTATAGGCATTGATTTTGGGTGATTTGGAGTTGATATGACTTTATAAGAGCTTTGCAAAGTCAAGGTTTGTTTCAGATGACTTGGGTTTATGAAATAAAATAGGATTTACATTTTGGATGATTTCAAAAGTTTTATAATAGATCTGTAGGTGAAATTTTGTGGGTCTATGGTTATAGTTGTGTTTAATATGTGTTGTAAATTTGAGCTCGATCTAACTGTTGAATTGAGGAATATTGAGGTTTAAGTCGATCAAGGTCTCAAAAAGTAGAATTTTAGGTCCAATGGGGGTTTTTAAAATTTCTTGCAATCTACTAGTTGGATTGGAGTGAAACTTACATGAGAGGATATTAGACTTGTTTTTCTATGTGCATGAAAATTTTAAACGATGTAAAGAAGAGATATTGGCTTTGGAAGATTGGCATCAAGATTGGAGAAGGAGGCCAGCCAATATACAAATACATTTTTGAGGTTATCATTAATTTGGTAACTCTAATCCTTTTCAATTTTTTTGTGCTTATTTTTAATTTGTTTTTTTAGAATTGTAAAAAATTTGAATTAAGATCGACGGTTTATTTTATTAGTTATTGAGGTTTAAAACTATTGTAGGAATTATTAGGGTTTGGTTTAGGATTTGGTTTAGGATTTAGGATTTGGATTAGGGTTTGATTTAGGGTTTAGGATTTAATTAGGATTTTATTTAGGGTTTAAGATTTAATTAGGGTTTGATTTAGAATTTAGAATTTAGTTAGGATTTGGTTTAGAGTTTAGGATTTGAATTAGGACTTGGTTTAGGGTTTAGGATTTGGATTAGGGTTTGATTTAGGATTTGGTTAGGATTTAGTTTAGAATTTGGTTGAGATTTGGTTTAAGATTTTTTTAGGATTTGATTTAGGATTTAGGATTTTATTAGGATTTAAGATTCAATTAGTTTTGGCCTAAAGTTTGAATGAAGTTGAATAGGATTTTAACTAGAATTAAATTAAGATTGAATTGAGATGTATTTGAGTGATATTTTTGATCCTTTTAATATTTCTTTAAGAATTCTTATTGTTTTTTTGAAATTTTTTTGAGATTTCTTTGAATTTGATTAAGCTTATTTAGCATTATTATGGTCTAATTAGAGCATTATTAGTATTCTATTAGAATTAAGATTTTGTTATTGTAATTTTCATTCTTCCTTCCACAGCCAAGTGCTCGGAGCATTCTCAAGCAAGACTTCATGTATTACGACAATATAATATCTCTCATAAGTATTGTTCATGCTCTTCAAGGTTTTTTATTTTATTTATTTTTTAAATTTTTTATGAGAATATCATCAAAGAAGACAACTACATACTTGTTCAAAAGGTTTGGAAACAATGTATTTATATGATTTATAAAAGATGCTGGAGCATTGGTGAGGCCAAAGGATAAAATCAGCTATTCGAAATGTCCATAGCGCATATGAAATGTTGTCTTTTTCACATCCTCTTTTGCAATAGGTATTTGCCAATAGCCGCTCTAAAGATCCAATTTATTAAAGATGGTTGTATCTCAAAGTTAGTGAAGAAGATCATCCGTGCATAAAAGTGGATATGCATTTTTAACTGTTTACTTATTGAGACCTTGATAGTCAATGCAAAGGAAAAATCCACCATCTTTCTTAGGTGCAAAGAGTACATGTGCTCCCTATGGCGATCTGCTTTCTCAAATGAGGTCTTTTTCCAAGACTTCATCTAATGTCTTTTACAACTCTTTAAGTTCTTTTGGTGTTAGGTGATAAATTAGTCGACTTGTTGGTTTGGCTCCACGCAATAGTTCTATTTGAAAGGAGGCACCTCGATCAAGGGATATGCCACTAGGTAGGTCGGTTAGAAAGACATTCTGAAATTTCTACATGAATTACTATGCCCGTTGTCATGATGTAATATGACTAATAGGTAAAAGAGTGTGGAAATTATTATAATGTAGGAGATCTTAGTTCAAAGTATTACAGCAAATTATCTTAAAAATATACTTAATAGTCAAAAGGATAGCAAAACTAAAAGGTACGAATGTTGTCTTTTTAGAAAGGTGACTTCTACTTACTTTGTATGACCATAAATAAGGCAAAACAAAGTAGATTGAAAAAATAAATGATATAGGCATCTTTAGAAGTAAGTTAAGAGTAAATTCTTGCAAAATTTACTTATAAAAACTAGATATTGATACCCGGATAGGGCCAGTTATGAACGAGGATCGAAATCGGATCCTAAGGCTCAAAACCAAGTCTTGATGACGACTCCAAGGTTCTTTTGCAAATCAAAGAATGGTATTTGATAGCAAATTGGATGAGGTTTCTATGAGCATTGGTTTTGGGTGATTTGGAGTTTTTATGACTTTGTAAGAGCTTTACAAAGTCAAGATTGTTTGCAGATGACTTGGAGGTTTGTGAAATAAAATAGGGTTGATGTTTCTAGTGATTTCAAGCATTTTGTAACAAATCTACAAATGAAATTTTGTGGGTTAATGATCATAGTTGTGCTTAATATGTGTTGTCAATCTTAACTCGACCTAATAGTTGAATTAAGGGTTATTGAGATTTAAGTGAGTTTGGGATAATCTTCACCACCATTGACTGGTAAGGTGTACACAGGATCATCGGCTGGCTGGACCACATTGAGGAAGGGGATGACGAGGATCAAGCTGTTGAAAGGTGGTTTGACTGATCATGATCTCACGGTAGACGAACCCACGACGACTCATTATAGCTATTTACGTTTCCATTCGATTTGATTTGAAAGCGGATATAGGAGCAATTCTTTGCTCACAGAGATACTACACGGCCTTTTGGTTTGATGAATTGTTGCCCGTGAAGGCTCACATGTCTTTAGCTTCGATGCCATGATCTGATAACGAAAATATCTGTTACGGCCTTTACCACAAAGTCAATTGATATACTTTTTAAAAATTAATTGAGAGATATAGCTGATGAGAGACGTGGTGGTTGAATTTTTGAATGTCTTCCGTTCACTTGTCAATGTCTGCGAAGGCTTCCGCCGCCGGGACGTCACTCGCCAATTTCCCGAGCTTCTGCCCTTTTGATTACTTGCTTTAAATTATTGACCATCACCTGGATATTGTATACGATGTGCAATCTAGGCAGGTACCACCACAGGCGGACCTCACTATTACGATATCGGGCGAACTAGAGTAGGGGGCTTCATCACCAATAGAGCTCCGGACCACCTGGACCATCTCTCTTCCTGTAGTATTTTCTCGTGCTTGAGCTCCGTTTTCTATGGAGCCATATTTTTCCTCCTCGTTGCGATGTAGCAACCTAGTGCTACAAACAGCTCGTTAGACAGCGGGGTGTAGCTTTCGTATTCTTTTTTTTTGCCGTTAGAAGCAAGGACTTTAACCTTTGTTATTCTGGCTGTTGCAGCGGGGGTTGTAGTTCCATTTGGTCCCTGAATTTAGGCGGCAGGTTGGAATCGAAGCCCTGGTGGTTCTTGCTACGAGTTGACATCTACCTTCTGCGATGCAAAATGCAAAACTAGATCTCTGGAGGTCTAGCAAATTTGGTTGTAGAAGGCAGCATCGTTGGCAAGGCGGCTGCTGGTCTGGTTGGGAGTTGCAAAATTATGAGTCTTGTAGTGGCATGCGAAAGATTTAGATCTTCCAACGGGCCAGAAGGCGGTGGTCTAGTGATGTTGCAAAACTGCAACACGTCGACATCAAGCTTGATAAATTGCCGTCAAGAGCCTCGGCATCATTTACTCTATTCACTTCTCTTTTCCGTGTAATTTGTCGGGGCGATTGGAGCTTCTGTGCTTTTTTCTTACGACATTCCATTCCATTGATAGAGCCTAGAAACTCTTGTTCTTAGGCAATGAAGTTATAGTTGGCAAGACCTAGTGCTAATCACGGAATTTTGTCCAAGTACAATAGGCTGCTTCCGTATAATACAAACACTTGTTTCTTTTTTCTTGGTCAAGCCAAAGATAATTCAATTAAGTGATAACTGTGCATCTCTAAAGGATCTTGATGAATCTTCATTGCTACAAATGCATTGGAGCAGGGTTTTCATTGAATTAATCGCTCCAAAATAGAGTATTGCTGTTCTCTCATGAATGCGGATTGTTGAGACTCGAGTGGAGCAGTAAGCGAGTGCGAGCTTGGAATTTAATCTCCAAAGAAGTGTCAACCACTTGCTGATAAAGGAAGGTACTTGGCAAGGCGTGGAGGTGGTTGAAGGTACCAACTAAGAACTTGAGCTGGGACGTTGAGGACACCCGACACACTCACAACATGATCGTGTAGGAAGTTATCGATAGTGGAAATCAAGAGCAGGCTCAGTGTGTGCCGAAGGAGGAGCATAAGCATCGCAGTTCCATTCGACAACTTTGAATCCGCATCCAGAGTAGAGCAGGAATGAATTCGCAAGATTGTGTTGGGGGAAGAGAGCACTCGGTGAACAAAAAATGGGCTCTTCTTCAAAGTCCGTGGTCAGTAGCATATTGCAAGGTGATTCAAGACTCTTAGGAAGATTTTAGGTCAACTGGTGGAGGTTTATTTTAGCTCACATTTGGATTTTTCTTGGTAGTGGATTATAAAAGGATGCAACGGGTTATTAGAATGGCCAAAGTTATAACCAAATCTACTTGAAACGAAGCTTGCGAGGTGTTGATCTTTGTGGAGGCTCTTGACCTAGGTGCTATCCATCTCATTTACAATCCTGTATTGGTTGTTTGTCATCAAATCTGAACAGGCTGTGAAATTGGCATTTTCTATCAAAATTGGCTAGATATCAATCTAAATATCATCCGATTTGGGTTACAGTATCACTAGCTGTAATACTTAGAATCCGAGTAATATATGATGAAGGTAGCAATAAATTCGACACAAATTTTTTAACTTGTATGGATTGCTTGCTGCAGCTCATTCTTCATCCTGGTATAATATCAGCACATGAGTCAAGCTACGAGGGCTCTCCTTGATAACAATCTTCAGGGATAGAAGGTAGTGTGGTCAACAATGGCTTCCTTGTTAAGTTGGTTGTCCTTCAATTAGAGCTAGGATTTAGAAGGAATATTAGAATTAGAATTAGGTAGATAGAATCAAGTCATCAAATCACCAATTCAGCCATTGCTTATTTTGCCATCATTATAAAAGTTCTATGGTGGTGCTTCGGAGCATCTTCCGAGGGCTTCCATCACCGAGGTTCGACAGTAGGAAAGCTCAGCAAGAAATCATAAGAAGAGCTCAAAACATTCAAGTGCCACACCTCATTGGTTTTAAATTATAAATTTTTATTGAATCTAATATTTTCTAGCAAGTGAAATGTTAGTTGAACTCCATCTTGTAAATCAATTTGAGCCAAAAATTGTGATTGATAGAATAATGAAATACTTAGATGAAATTTTAAATTGAATGAATTAGGTTTTTGAAGTGGATAATAAATTGTAGATGAAGGTTGATTGAAACAGATGAATTTTTATTCATGGATGAAAATTTATTATTTTATGAATTTTTAATGTAGATGATAATTAATACCATATAAAAAAAATTAAAAATATCATTTATTTATTTTTAATAAAATCATATAAAAATCTTTTCTACAAGTGTATGGTCTTTTGAATTGTTAAAGTAGGCTTGTATGATAGGTTGGATTGTTGGAATGTAAATATAATTAGTTAGTGAATTTGATCTCTCTTAATAAGAAGTAAGAAGAATTTTTAAATAATTATTTCATAAATTAAGTAGTAGTGTGAATTAGTATAAATCACCTACCAAAGTGATTTGGTTTAGATCACACTTAGATTGTTATAGGACTTCTTAGACACTTAATCAAATGTTAATAGGAAATTATTATTATTTTTAGAAAATTAAGATCATTGTAAACTAGGATAGACTTCCAATTAGTGGAGGATTATTTTACTTCATGCTTTGATTAGCCATGTTAACTACATAGAAAGAAGGGCCAATGATACTAAAGCCTAATTTCTCCATAGTTAGTATAGACATTATATTTAATCTATTATAATCTATTATAATCTTGTAGGATATAATTTTGTCAACTATTGATACTTTTAATTTAATCACCTTCACTTCTTATGCCCCTTAATAGAAAAGTCTATTTTAAAAAAAATCTCATCATTACAAAAGCCTTCAATAATTGAGGAATGATTATGTCAACCTTAATTTTATTCAAATCCTCCTATAAATCATAAGACTCTCTTTGCTTACCAATTTTTAAGAGAAGTGAAGTACCTCGTTTTAGTTTAGAAATTCTAAGCCCTTCCCATTTTTTTGAAGAAGGAAATTCTTCCACATAAATGTTTTCCTTTATTATTTGGAATTTCTGATTGGATGTAGGTTCTAAGTCTTGAGGCAATTTTTTTAACTTCCTTACATTATCCATTGCCTCCTTTATGGTCTCATTTAAATCTGAAAAGTGAAGAGAGTCTTTTGAACTTTTTTCACTGTCAATTGAGGTAGAGAGGAAAAGGCTAGTATATCTAGACCTTATTATAATTGCCAAGGCTAGTATGATGTAGTAACACAACTAATAGGTGAAATAAGAAAGAAAGTATTTTATTATGTAAGAGCATAATTAAAAATATATAATAAAAAAAATAGATAAAAGATAGGTAGGTAGTAAAATCTTATAATGTTAGAACTATATTTTATGGAAATGGATTCTACTTACTTTGTATGACCATAAATAAAGCCAAACAAAGTAGACTAGAAAAATAAAGAATATAGACATATGTAAGAAGAAGTTAAGAATTTATTTTAGCAAAAATTACCTCAAGAAGATAAGAATTAATATTTGGAGACGACCAATTATGAACCTAGATCAAAATCAAACCTTGAGGCACAAAATTGCACATCTACAGCAACTTTGAGATTCTTTTGTAAATCGAAGAGTGGAATTTGAGAGTAGATGAGATTAGGCTTTTTTAAGAATTAACTTTGAGGGATTTGAATTTTGTGAAATAAAATAGGGTTGATATTTTGGACAATTTTGTGAGTTTTATAATAGATCTATTAGTAAAAATTTATGGGTTTATGAATATAGATGTGTTAAATGTGTGCTATAAATTGGAGCTTAATCAAACAATTATATTAAAGATTATTGAAGTTCAAGTGGATTGAGATCTCAAAAATTGGAGTTGAAAGATTAGTGAGAGTTTCTAAGATCTTTAGTAATCTACCTATTGGATTAAAGTGAAAATTATTTTTATAGGTTATAGAGTTGATTTTCAATATTTTTGTGGATTTTTAGAGGAATTCAATGGTTTAAAAATAAAACATTGGAAGTCGGAGCTCAATATTAAGATTGGAAAAGGAGACTATCTAATATCCAAATGGATTATCTTGTATTTGTCTTAATTAGTAAGTAAAATTAATTTCATTTTTCTTGTTTTTGTTTCCAATTGAATTTTGATAAATATATAAATTTTTAATTAATATCAACATTTAGATCATTAGTTGTGGTGATTTTAATTTGCTATAGGATTTGTTAAGAATTCGTTTAGGATTCAACTAAAGTTTAGGATTTCATTAAGAATTTTATTAGGATTATATCTAAGATTTGATTAGGATTTTTTTAGGATTTTATTAGGATTAGTCTAGGATTAGGATTTAGAATATGATAAGGATTTGATTAGAATTTGATTAAGATTTGATTAGGATTTAATTATGATTTGATTAGAATTTAGGATTTGATTAGGATTTGGATAGGATTTCAATAGGATTTTATTAGAATTTGATTAAGATTTAATTAGGATTTTTATTTTTGATATTTTTTTAATATTTCTTTATTTTATATATAATTTATTAAGGTTAATTTATGATTTCTTTATATTTATTTTAAGAGTCCTTCAGACTTCTTTTGGATTTAATTAAAGATTAATTAATATTATTATTATTTAATTTAATTTTTTTTAGAATTCTATTAGAATTGTTAAAGTCTTCTTATTGCAAGTTCTATTTTACCTCCTACAACTAGGTGCCTAGTGCATTCTCCAACAAACTTCACAAAATATAATACCAATATGTTTGGAAGCTCCTTTTATTTATCTAGAAATTATTCATGAGAGATAAAATTTATTTGGAAAAAAGAAGATTGATCTCTCACTAATTGAGGCATTGTTTTTTGTTTAGTATTTCTTAATACTTCATGTCCTATGAATTTTGGCCATTATTTTGTTGACCATATTAGAACTAACCTCCATTTAGAAGAATGTATCCTCATTTTATATTTAAACCTAAAGGAAGGTATTGGGTTTAATGATTATTGTTATAATCGTAAAACAAATTGAGAGATTTTAGACTATTGTCAAAATTTAGATTTCTTGCTTTTTTCAAGTAATCTTGGACTTATTTTGGTAATTTTCTTACAAAAAATTCAAAGGAATTACCTTGTCAAGATTCCTATATACATTTTTAGGATGATTTCTTCCACAATTTCCACACATTATTCTATTTTCTATCCAACAATTATTCAATAGGTGTCTTTTGTCATAAACGTTCTGTACCTCTTGCTATTGTTGTGATTGGTTCCTAAAGCCTTGGTTAGGTTTTTTTGAGGCTAAGATTGAGAATTGGAATCTATACTACCTTAATTTCAATAAGATAGAGCATAAGATTGTTGCCTTTCCAAATTTTGTTGGTAATTTTGTTGGTGTAAAATACTAAATTTATTCTAAAAATGGAATTAAAACGTAAACGTCCTCTAATATTGGAAGTGGAAGATGTTTGTTCAATGTTTGGACTTTAATACATTTGAGTTTTTATTTGGTTTTCTTAACAATTATTTCTCAATTTTCTATAGGTGAAGATAGGTTGGATTGCTTAGTTCTAATGGAGCAATCTATTTGTATAACTATAGATGTATTATTCAATTTAATCTATTAATTCTACAAGCAATTTTAAATTTTGGCTCATCTACTGTCACGGCCATAATCATATAAGCTAATAATTACATGTAGAAATAGGTAGAAGTAAGTAAAAGTAAGTAAAAGTAAGTTAGTTCTATAGTATTTAATATAAAAGCTTCCTAGAAACTTCTTAGATGCTGCTTTGACTTCATAGGTGTCTTTAATTGACTTTTTGGATTAGAAACGTGGTCAAAAATTGGCCATGTGCCACACATGTTGTTAGCTTGAAGATCAAGCTAACTATGTGGCCCACACGTAGAAAAACTTATCTTGTAAGTTAAGGCATGTGTCCTACAAAGTCAACACCTATTGGAGGTCCTATAGAACGTCGCCACGTAGCTCTTACTTAGATAGTATATATAGAGACAAGAGTGAAGGCTTCTTCACTCTTGTCAACTCCTTTCTTACTTCTAGTCTAGTTTCAAGGGTCTCTAGTTTTTTTAGCTTTTAGCAATAGCCATTCTAGTTTCTCTTTAAATAGACATACTTGTTTATTTATATTTTGTTACCTCTTTTTGAGTGAAGGCTCACTTGTTTGAATTGTTTTTTTTATCAAGTTCTTGTCCTTGACAGATTGACAAGAGTCCACTTACAATATCAGAGCTTTGTTTTTCTTGAGTAAGAGTGGATTACCCCTTTCTCTTGACAAGACATAAGCATATTAGAAGTTTGCGGATTACCCACTTCAAAAATGATATTGTTCTTAGTATCTTCTTTGTCATCAAGTCTTTTCTATTTCTTTTGTCTTCAGCAATATCAGACAAATTTTTCTTCTTAGTATCATTATGGCAAAGCTTGTTGAAATGAAGAGTGCAATGGCACAAATGCAAGCACAATTGAGGGAGTTAATGCTTACGATGCATCAACTCAATTCACCAATATAGGAAAGAACAAAAATAGTAGAAAGTGGAGATATAGAGATGATCGGAGCTGCTTCAACATCTGCACCAAATCACATTCCTTCTCCAATTGTACAACACCCTGTAAGAACTAGAGAACCAAGAATTGCTTTACTCGAGAAATTTGATGGTACAAGATCAAAGTTTCGAGGGTTCATCAATCAAGTACAATTGGCAATTGAACTTCAACCGCAAAGCTATCCAACTCCAAGATCACAAGTCAGGTTTATTGGCACTCTACTTTCTGGTTCTGCATTATCGTGGTTTTTGTCTTTTCTTGAACAACGAAATCCAATATTAGACAATTTGAAAGCTTTTTTGGCGGAGTTTCGATCTATGTATGGTGAACACGATGCAACTCGTGTCACAACAAACAAGATCCGAATTCTGCGACAAGAAAACCGCTCAGTAACAATGTATGCTTCACAATTTCGACAACTTGCAATTGACATCAAGTGGGATGATGCTGCACT